TTTTTTGTCTGCACTAGAATTAGATTGCATGGGTTTTCACACCCATGTGATCCAATTTTGCACATCACACCGTGTTTTGTGAATCGATTTCGTGGTGTAGTTACCTTAATATACACACCTGCAGCAGTTCACATGAAGTGTGATGCGGTGCGGATTTCATACCACTTTCTGTGCGAATTCTGCACCACATCAGTGTGAGCGCAGGCTAGACACTGGCACTGCGCAGGTGTGCGTGCCTAGGAGAGACTCTGCTGACACCGCTGCGCACTTCACATGGACCCAGCATAAACCAGACAAGGCTGTTAGCTGTGATGAAAGCTGCCCTGAGGACCAGCAGCAGGGCTCCCCAGATTATGGGTCATTTAGGCAATACACTAGGGACCACGTCCAGCTGAAACCCACACACATGGACGGACAGCCAGCCCGCCCATTAGACCAGCCAGGTAGAGGAGCACATCTAGGTTCTGCACATGGGAGGAATGCCAAGGCTGCAGGTGGGTAAAATTTATGAGTTAAGTCCTGGAAGCATGGGGGGGGGGGGGGGCCCTTACCCAGCTGTGATGACATAGAGCTGTCAGGAAAGGTTATTTATTTGCAAAACTTTATAACATAAACAAATAAAAACTTGGGTTTTTTTTTCCATATTTTCAGTCTTTGCTTGTTTATTTTGCCAAAAATAAAAAACTCAACGATGATTAAATACGAATAAAAAAAAACCCTATTTTTGGGAAAAAAAATTATAGAAATGTAATATGGGTACAGTCTTGCATGACCACGCAATTGTCATTCAAAGTGTGACTGTGCTGATAGCTGAAAATTGGCCTGGGCAGGAAGGGGGTGAAGTGTTGAAGTAGTATTGAAGTGGTCCTGAAGATGGCCTTGCAGGAAAAAAAAAAAAAGTATGAATAAGTAAAAAAAAAAAACAGTTTAACCTAACAAAGTAAAAATATACACCCCCCCCCCCCCCCCCCCCCGTGCTCCAACAAACAAATACCCAAAAAAAGGAAAGCCTTGCAGCAAAAAAAAAATTATTATGTAGAGGACAGAAGCTAAAAGTGAACGCTGACCTCAAATCACCACAAAATATCATGAAAGACAAAGCCCTAATAACAACAAAAATGACAGTAAAGGGATTGTTTGCCCAAAGAGCTAGCAATCAATTTCTAATCTGTCTCTATGCAGTTTCATAGCTTTCTCTACACTTTCCCAAAAACAGCTTCCAATTCACTGACACTAAGGCCATTCTGTGTCTTCCCCCCCTTCTTTTAGTGAATGGGCTGACTTATCTAAAAGCCCACTTTTTAGCTATCGAAGCCTACTAGTCATAGTTCAAAGGTCATGCACCTTTTAATGTGTTTAGAAGATTTAATTTAAATGTTCTGTTGGGCTTTAATTTACTGAGGAGAAAATATAAGCATACAGTGAATAAAGAGGTGGGCAACCAAAAAGGTCAACACTAATAGGTGGAAGTTCTGAATGTATGGTTGGCCGAGGGGTATAATCCATCACTTTGCATAACACCACCACTATCTTAAAATAAGGGATAAACTGACATTTTTCTGGGGATTTGCAAGGGAAGCGAGACTTGCAGATACTTTCTGTTTTTAAAAAAGCACCCCTGTGCTTCAAACTGTAAAGTATAAGTTTTTTTTTGGGTTCTTTTTAGCTCACCTTGCAATAACCTGTCTGGTTATATGGTCTTGTTTTTTCCAAGCCCTACTCCATAGAAGTCATTGTTGTTGATTTACTATCGAAATAGAGCATGTCACCTTAATAAAGTGAATTTTCACTTTGCAAAGGAATTTTATCTTAGCTTAGTGAATGAAGTGACATTTACTTAGAATGCAAAAACATGTGCAAGAAAAATTTAAAAGCAGGATTGTTGCTTGCACATAAATAGATGATAGAAGTCAGCAAAACTTGACGTCATTCACAAGGCAGGCCATAAACGATGCACAAATCGCTCAATTTCCCCATTAACACAGGCATTGGTTGATAATGCCAATATTCAGATAAACGTAAGGGGGCCACACACCTCTGAATGTAAAGTTGTTATCAATGTGCACAATTTAATGTGAGTGTATAGAGATACATTTTAACCCCTTAACGCCTAAGGGTAAAACAAATCGAAATGCCTGAGCACAATTTTGCAATGTTGACATGTGTTAGTAAAACTGTACATATCATCACAACTACTTTGTACATCCAGGTGAATTATACTTTGTTTTTTTTTTCCAGGACAAATTGGGCTTTCATTTGGTGGTAAATGGTAATGGTTATCTCCTGATTTGTGTTTATTATCAAAAGAAAACTGGCCCAAAATAGTAAAAGTTTTTTTTTAAATTTAGCTGTGTTTCTTTTTACTACCATAACCTACCACCAAAGTACAACCCAAAATACATTTTCCAGCTCTTGACGATTGCAATATCGTGTATGTTATTTGTTGTTTGTACCCATAGTACAGTCCAGAAACAATAGGGCACATTTTTGTTTTTGTGGGTTTTTTTTTTTCCCTAAAACACACTGACATTGACACTAACTGACACCAATTTTTTTTTTTAATCCTGACCCTTTGACCCTGACCTTGACCCAAACACTAACCCTGTCACTGAACTAGATCAAACCTTGATCTAGGTATTTTTTCTTTAATGTTTTTAATTATCTTTTTTTTTTTTTACAAACATTTTTTTTCCCCTCTATGCCAGGAGTTAGAGAGATACAATGTATCTCTCTCCTCCATTCATAGAGAGAAAAAAACAAGGGAGTCGGTCACTGTGCCAATCAGAGGCTATCACAGCGATCATGTGACCCGGACTCAGGAGTCCCAGGTCCCGATCGTTAGAAAAAAAGCCCAGTTCTGTGAGGCCGCATATTTGTGTTATGTCGGCATCAAGGGGTTACATAAAATAATGGTTTTAAGCAGTTTAGCACTATGATGGCTGTTTTATCCTTGAGCACACCCTTGTGAGAAGAAAATTGCATAACCTGGAGCAAGATCCCTGACAAGTGGAGGAGTATGGGGAATCCATTAAAGACATTCAGCCATTGATAATAAACCCCAAGGGGAAAGGTGCAACTAGACCTGGCAGTGGGTCTAATATAAAGGTGAGCGCATATAGTGGCTGGTGCCGGACACATGTGGGGTTATTTACTACAATGACATGGTGCAAAATCTGGTACAACTGTGCATAGAAACCAATCAGCTTCCAGGTTTTAATGTCAAAGCCTAATTGAACAAGCTGAAGTCAGAAGCTGGTTGGCTACCATGCACAGCTGCACCAGATTCTGAGTGCTCCAGTTTTAGTAAATCTCCCCCACAGTGTTTTGAATGGTAAACAGAAGACACACCAAGAGTGTTATCACAGACTGATTTTACCTGGATATACACGGCAATTGTTAACCACTTGCCCTCCAGAGGATTTTCCCCCCTTCCTAACCAGGCCATTTTTCACGATATGACACTGTGTTACTTAAACTGACAATTGCGTAGTCATGCAACACTGCACCCAAATGAAATTTATGTCCTTTTTTCCCACAAATGGAGCTTTTTTTTGGTGGTATTTGATTGCCTGTGTGTTTTTTTATTTTTTGCGCTATATAAAAAAAAGACCAACAATTTTGAGAAAAAAAAACAATATTTTTGACTTTTTGCTATTAAACATATCCAGTAAAAACATTTTTAAAAATCAAATTTCATCATAAATTTAGGCAAAAATTTATTCTGCTACATGTGTTCATGTCTTTGTTAAAAAAATACATGTAATTTAATTGGTTTACGTAAAAGTTATAGCATTGTACAAATGGTGGTGTGTGTGTGTGTATATATATATATATATATATATATATATATATTATTATTATTTTTTTTTTTTTATACTAGCAATGGCGGCAATCAGCAACTTATATCCAGTGGTGTGTTTAGGTTTTGTGCTGCCCAAGGCAACACAAAAATTGTGTGCAAACCCCCCCCCCCCCCATATGTGGGTCTCTCCCCTCTCCCTCCTGTCGTCCACACACAGTAGGATTACCACCCCCACTTCCCCTCTCCCTGCTCCAGGCTTTCCCCTGGTCTCAGCTCTGAGTGCGGGTGGGGGAAGGAGCTCAGCGGCCACTCAGGAAAACCAGGGCACCCCCTCGATCCAGCCAGGGCTGTCTCTCCCTCCAGCAGCAAAAAGCCAGCAGGAGAGAGAGGGAGAAATTGGCTTTCAGCTGCTGGAGGGAGAGATACACAGGCCATTGTTCTGCAACTGCTCCCCCCCCCCCAGCACACCGATCCTCCTGCTGTCCTAGATCACCTACAGGAGTACCGGTGGTACCCCCCAGATGGCGGCTCTGCATGACTCAGTCTGTCGCTGCTCACCAGGTCACTTCTTCCAGGGAGCGGTGCCACCCCCCCTAAAAATTGCCATCCTAGTCAAACGCCTTGTTTGCCTCACCGTAAATACACCGCTGCTTATAGCGGGACTGCGGCGGGCATACTGACACTGGGGGGGAACTGACTAACTGTCACTGACATTCCCACTGACACTAACACAGTGATCAGTGCTAATAAAAAGCACTGACACTGAACTAATGACACTGGTCAGGAAGGGGTTAACATCTGGGGCGATCAAAGGGTTAACTGTGCTGTTTTACAGTGTGCTTTACTGTGTCAACACATTGCATTGTATTGCTCTGCTATGCGCAGGAGCTGACGGGAGAGATCTGTCTTGTTTACATACAGGTCTCTGACCCATCAGTGATACTCGGTGATTGCCGGGTGCCAGTGGGGAATCACCGGCCAGGATCCGGTGTTCGGCACCATTGGCGACGCAGGTAGGGTGTGTGCGGTGTAAACGCGCCCCCTACCCGGAAATGCACAATCACATATATATATGTGTGATTCTGTGCAGCCCTGCCACCCTATAGCAGTATTTCTGCTATAGGGCGGGGGGAAAGCAGTTAATTACAGCACGCATCGATTGTTTTGACTGCCCAGTATAGTTACTGGAGGTCCCCACCACAACTGTGATATTCAGTTTTTTTTTTTTTTGGTATTGTAATTAATGTGGGAGAAGGATATTTCACTAATATGTTTTAGGTTGCCCAGCACTATTACTGGGGGTTTCCACCATTATTGTGATATTCAATTTCAAAACATTTTTGCTTGATTTGCTGAACCGGATAGCGTATGTACTCTCCAGCGCCTCAGGATATGCACAGCCAAAAGGGAAGCCAAGGGTACCAGGACAGCGACAACCAAAAGGAAATGTTCCAGGGGTGCAGCCCTCCTCAGACGGGGAAATCAGCCACTGGATAGAGAGAAAACAGGTGGCGCACACACCTAGTGCATTATCCAAGGTTTATTGTAGGAATTAAATCATAAAAACATACTCACAGACGAAGCATGTATCTAAAAAGCATAGAAAAATGACAATGGCCACAACGGCGGGCAAGGTGTTCTGACAGTCAGTGCGGTCAAATGGTTGACGCGTTTCGGGGACGAATCCCTTTCCTCAGAGCTGATGACCAACCTCTGATGCTGATGCACGATGAATGGAAAGTAAAGTAAGAGCCTCGCTGTTGAGGCATTCACTTGTATATAAAACTACTATTTGATACTCTCACTTGTGTTAATACATTGTTAATATTAGTACTAGCATGGAGGGTGACACCACTATTGCATCTGCGTGGCAGCACATTTTTATTTGTTTTTTTTTTAGCTACTGCATTTGTGGGAACACATATAAGTGTTGAGCAGCAAGCCTGTAGTAATTATCATACATTTTTACACAGCACAGTGAAAAAAACACATAATTTATCTTTTGTAAGGTTCATACTTTTTTTTTTTTTTTTTTTTTACCAACCATATTATGTGTTTGTAATCCTAAAATATTAAAACCAGAATACTGTATTTGCGGCAGCATGTTTGTTTCATATAAAGAGCTTCCACAATCAACTATTCAACTGAGTAGAGATGGGCTGGATATTCGAGTCTAAAGTAAGTTCGACTTGAACTTCGGCCGTTCGTGTGTTCACCAAACACATGAACAGTAAGGGCATTCGGCGGGCTGTTCGCTCTCACAGTGACATTGTGATTGGCCAAAGCAATGCACCTGACCACAGGTCAAGTGCAATGCTTTGGGCAACCACTGCACAATTGGCGCAGAGCTAGTGGTGACGTCATTGCTAATTCCGCCAAATTGTTTACATCTGACCAGCAAATGTCAGACTGCAGCAAGTGCTCAGCGGGTGTGGAAGGGCCGGCGGACATCTTCTTCTAATTTCTTTTTTTTTAATGAGTTGTCAAAAACTTTTCTTTCGTTTTTGTTCAATACAGGAGTTTTTCAAAAGACTCTTTATTTTTTACTAAATTTAACCCTGTTCCCATGCTGATGGTACGTGGCCTGGTAAGCCACAGGGAGGGGAGGGCACTCGTTCGTCCCTTTTTCCTACCCTGCCAGGCCTTTGCTCGGATCAATGTAGTAATTTAGGAGGACCCCACACTTTTTCCCCCCAATTTCTTTTGGGTGGTGATCCCCCTTAAAAGTCCTACTAGGCCTAAAGACACTGGTATGGCTTTTAGGGGGAACCCCATGCACTTTTAACCCCCTTTTTTGGAGGTAGGGTTCCCCTTAAAAGTCCTACCAGGCTTAAAGGGCCTGGTATGGCTTTTAGGGGGAATCCCATGAACATTTAAAAAAACACATTTTTATGGACTAGGGGGGACCATATGCTTTTTTTTTTTTTTTTTTTTTTAAATAAAAATATAAGTCCTGCTGCAGCAGTTTCTATTTACATATTAATGAAAATACTTTGCTCAGTACAGCAGATGTATCCTCACTTTACACTAATATTGATCATAAAGGAGCTATTAGAGCAGCAAAATGGGCCTTAACAAAATATTCTAATCTACATAGAAAACAAAAATTTCTGATAAAGTGCTTAATGTTTTGTCTCAATCACAACTATTTTTGGTACCATAACACGTATTACTTACAAATAAAGGGAGTGGCCATGGGCGCTCGTTTTGCCCCCAGTATAGCAAATCTCTATATGGCACAGTGGGAGGAGGAGAGTGTATTCTGTAACCAAAGACAAGAAATATTATACCATAGATTTATAGATGACCTAATAATATTATGGAATGGAGAGGAAAATTCATTGGTGAACTTCTATAAGGATTTAAATAATAATAAGCACAATGTAACACTCAGTTGGGATATTAATAACAAGGAGATTAACTTTTTAGATATATGATTAATCAAAGATGGGTCACAGATATATACCAAGAATTATTTAAAAAAAACAGACAGGAATGCATATATACCCACCCATAGTTGCAATTATAGACCATGGATTAAAAATATACCGAGGGGGCAATTCATGCGCCTGAGACGTAATTGCACTAACCTAACAGATTATCAGGAACAAAGTAACATCTTCGTAAAGAGATTCATTGATAAAGGGTATAAGAGAGAAACAATACAAGTAGAAAGAGAGAATGTTAAAGTACTAGATAGAAAGAATCTTCTAACAGATACAGAATTTAAGAACAATACCATTAATAATGATATAGCTATGATAATGCCATATAGTATAGTAAGCAACATAAAGATATAGAAAAAATTATTATTAAACATTGGGATGTATTAAAACTTGATAAGGATCTGAAGGACTTAGTTTTAAATCAACCGAAATTTATATACAAAAAAGCCCCTAATATCCATGATAAAGTGGTTAAGAATATAACTACTCCACCTGGTACAAGTAGGAATTTTACTTTCTTTCAGGGAATAGGATTTTACAAATGTGGTAGATGCTACATCTGTGTTAGAGTGAAAAGGAATCCCAAACTTAGATCGGAATTTATTAATCCCATTAACGGTAAAGTATACAATTAAACAATTCATATCATCTGACACAAAGGGAGTGGTGTATGCTTTAAAATGTCCTTGTAATAAGATCATATTGGGAGAACTAAAAGGCCATTAAAAGAACGTATTAAAGAACACATTTATAATATTACCAAAGGATATAAATATCATAACGTACCATTACATTTTCGGAATGACCACAGACAAAATGTTGAAGGCCTGGAATTCTGAGGCATTGAAAAACATGACACACATTGGAGAGGAGATAATTTAGTTAGAGAAATAAGCAAAAAAGAATCCCATTGGATCTATGAGATGAATTGTTTGGACCCTAGAGGCCTAAACAAAGAATTCGATCTCTCTTGTTTCCTGAGTGATTATTAATAAATATATGGGATTATTTATGAAGAAGGTGCGTTTTATCACATGCATATATGATTCCATATTATGTGTACATTGATTAGCTAATTGCAATTATATTTAGTTTAAAATAAATAGTGAGAATATAAGGATTAGGATACATGATGCACACTTTTATTAGGGACATTTATAATAACGCATGGCTAATATGTATCATATTTGATTTGTAAGGTCCAATACATCTACATAATCCACAAGATAATTGCTCAACATGTAAATTTGGATTTAAACCACCTATGTTTTCTGACATGCGTTGTTGATAGACGCATGTTAGTTAAAATTGCATTTCAGATTTAACACATAATAGATTTAAAACCGGGCAAGATGATGATGATGATATGAAGGCAGCAATTAGCTTATGAGGTCATTCTCATTCATATTATCAGCTTCATACACATATAGTCGCTTTTGGGTATTTTTACAATCCATTTTTATTTGTTATTTTTATTTTATATTTTATGATACATGTTTTATGTTGATTTGTTAGGTTTAATACATTTACAATATCCATAAGATAATAGTAAAGTGTGTATATTTGAGGAAAAAAATGTCTATTTTTTTTTTCTGACATGCGTTGTTGATAGACGCATGTTAGTTAAAATTGCATTTAAGATTTACCACACATAATAGATTTGTAACAGGGGTAGTTTATGATATGAAGGTAGCAATTAGTTAATGGGGTTACTCTTATCAATAGCTTTTATATAATTTTGGGTATTTTTATAATTTTCATTAATTTTTATTCTTATTTTATGTTACAATAAATTTTCTGCGTATGTATAATTTTATATAGCAATGAATGGTATATGCTAACATCATTCATGGATTATTTACAATGTATTTGTAATTTTAATTATGTTAATTTGTATTTTCATATGTATTTTATAATGTTGATATAGACCATCTCGAGAATGCATGCTACATGCACTAGTAGGCTAGCCGTAGGATACTGGGACATACACTGTCCAAATGTCCATGACTTAAACTGTATGTAGGCACCAGCAGCAGCACCCTCCAGAGTGAAGCTGAAGCTCTGATTGCTGTATGTAAAGAAAACACAGAGGGGCACCAGGCTAAGTGCAGTATGGGACAATTGTGTTTATTAAAACATAGCAAATTGGAAAGTCACTAATGAGCAGATAGAATGGGCATATAAAAACATCTCAGGAGGTTCCCCAGGGTGATCCAGCTGATGTTCTGTGGCTTGCTGTAGTCCAAGTCAAGGAGGGAAATAGAGCCGAATGCCACTGGAACCAGTGTGGAATGCAAGATGTCATTGCACCGGAAGTGATAACACCAAGGAGACGTCACTCTCTAAAGTGGGCAGTAACGGTATAGGTCTCCCTATAAAACTACCAAGATCCTTTTTTAGGATAATTAAGTTGATATTGAGGTTTATTTGGGCTAATAAGAAACCAAGAATTAAGTATGAAACCTTATGTTATCAGAAAGAGAACGGAGGACTAAACTTGCCAAATATGAGGAAATCTTATTTATCGGTGTTATTATCAAGGGTGGTGGATTGGACATATAATTCACAAGAAAAAAGTTGTGTTAAAATTGAAGTTATATTAAGTAAAACACAGTTGGAGAGGATCATATGGATTCCACAAGAATTTCGGGCATTAGATGAAAATAGTAGTACACTGACACGGGATGTATTGAGAGTTTGGCATGGTTTACACAAGGTTATGGGTTGGAAATATAATTTGTTACTGATACTATTGGTGGACACTGAATTTTTTTCCTCTGGGGAAGGGAAATGTTTCGGGAAAATAGATTAAAGATAGAAATGCACGTTTGGGGGAGATATATTAGACAAAGGGCAGTTATACATTTTTCAAGAATTGCACAATAA